GAGAAGTTGCCTTTGATGCAGATGCCGGCGCCTAGTAGGTAAGTTTGAAACCAATCAATAGCTGCTGGAGATATGTTAAGAGAACGTGGAACAGCAAGAAGAATATCAAAATAAACAGAGTTGAAGGCGTTGCTGAAGTCAAGCAACGTCATCAGTGTAAATTGACGATTCTCCATGCCATGTCGAATGTCATCCGAGATTTTAACCAATGCAGTAGTAGTGCTATAGCCGGAACGGAAACCGGACTGGAAGGAGTTTAGAAGTTGGTTTTGGTTAAGGAAACTTGTTTCTCCAGAACTTTGGGGAGAAAGGGAAGGATGGAAATGGGACGATATTCAGAAAATGGGGCAGGATTGTTTTTTTTTAGGAATTGGGATAATAGATTAAAAACGTGGACCCCGACACACGTGTTCCGCGTGAAAATCGATTAAAATTACCAGGATTTCAGGTTTTGAGGGCAAATTACTGTGAATAACATTCGTACTTATTTAAATCTGTATGCGGGATGCATAAGAAACGTATAAACAGTCTAATAGTAAATTTATTCAAAATTATTTATTTTATTAGAAGATAAGAGTCGCACAAGAATTGCTCGCTCAAGAATGACCCTAAAATGTAAGTTAATTACATTTCTGGGACAATTAGAAAGCATTTATTTGTAAAAAATGTAATGAATAATATATTTGTAATGTTTTGGTTGATTGACAAAAGAAAAAATACGTGTCCATTATTTTTGATAATCTAACTGACGGACTAAATAGAATTTCGTTTACACCCTATGAATTTCACATCAAAAGATATTAACAATTTCAATCATCAAACTTAAAGGTTTTTTTTTATAGAATTTCTCTCAGATCACAGATTAATCTGAGGAATTTATTGAACCACATAGTTTACGTAGCATAAGTCGATGCTACTTGACTAAGAATGCTATAAAATAAAATGCATGTTGCCAATTTTATTATGGTGATAAATTCTATGAAGTGAACTCAGTTGCAGCATAAAACAAACATTAACTGTCTTATGGGTTTTAAGCGTGAGAAATTTCTTTAGCAACTATATAATATCCTACTAAGCGATGAACGAAGTAAGGCCGACGACTCCATGAAATTTGATGATATCCATGTATTACCGCCTGTCACCAGTTGTCTCCTATATTTCCTTGAATTCAAATAGAATTATTACGTTATTAACTTTATATGAATACAATGTAAATTGCTATTGAACAAAGGCTCGTAGAAAATCTTAACTTTTATATTGACGTGACAACGTCTTAAATTAGGTTGCGGCTGGGAGTCACTTATGAAAAAGTGTAACGCTCGGTAACGTTACGATGAGTCTCTCGTGTTAAGTTTAAGTTTACATGTACAATGTTTTAGTAAACAAAATATATTTCTATAGTTAAAATTTGTGCAATTCTTATTTTCATTCAATTCCTTGTTCCTATTGTGCAATTTAATTATATTCATATCAATAAATATTCTACCGAGAAAAAGACGTTGTCACGTAAAATCTTCGCCCGTAAAACCGACTTTACAGGCAACCATTTTTTATTAGCTATCATCTGTTCATTGTAAAGTTGTATAACGCTTTCAGGTCGGTATATGTTACTGAACCTATTTTAATGAATTTTGGAATAATATGGAAATAAAAAGAACCTCGGAGTAAAATATTGAATACTCTTTGTCCCAAAATGAAAACCTATCAGGGTTTAAAATTACACAAAGGCAAAGACAAGACGCCCGCTACTTATTAAAATTTTTAGTTTTTCAACCGACAGTGTTCCGTACTGTATTGTGAGTGCAAGAGAAATAAACTGCTCCAACTGTTAACCTTTTCGTACAATGTAGTAGTAAATCATATTACTGGACTATGCAACTATAGTACACCTAGTAACAAAGAACTATTACAGCCATTTATGTAATTCTAAACAATTACATCGATTTTAGTTCATATAAATAATAATAAACCTATTAGTTGTTTTTTTTTGTTTAAAATTGTCGTTCATTATAGCAAAAATGTCAACATACAAAATTGTCATTGTTACTTTCCCAAACTTTCTGTACACAGTGGCACCCGTTAAAAAACTTTTTGTACTTATGTCAAAATGTTGCGTTCTTCTTACGCTCATGGCCCTCTCACCTTGATTAGCGTTGATAAGAGCTGTAGTGACAAATTAAACTTTCATCCTTTCTTCCCCGGTGTTGGAATGTTTGTAACTAAAATTTTCATTATTCTCCGCCCAGTCAATTGGGAGTTCCTTTCTCATGGAATCATGGAACATCATACAGTGATCTAGTAGATATAATAAAAATAAAATTAGATAAACTTCTATCTAATCAAGACAATATCAAAGCATCAAATTACAAAGCAGCCGTATCCCATTCAATTGACATTTGGCTATCGATTGATTGGGATCGATTTCGAATAACTGAATAACGACTACGTTCTATCTATGGCCAATTGGACAGGCATTTATCATAGTATTTTTCACAAATGTAATCCCGCAGAAATTAATGATACTACTTTATCAGATCGGTCATCACAGTTGTGGGTGTTATCGTTGTTTGGATGTCAGTCGAACTTCAATCTGTTTGCTAAAATTAAAGTTTTATTTAAAATATCTGTTGAAGGTGTTAAAAGTGATGCCCCACTCATTCCAAAAAATGACAGAAGCGTTTTCCGTATGGAATGTCTTTTGCGACATGCAATTCAGTACCCGAACATTACAAGTATTCTACGAGTTGCATTGAAAAATATTCTTAAAAAAGAGAAATAAGCCTTAAAGTTTCAGAAATGGAGAATTCAATGTGTGTCGTAATTATCCTAGCCCACGACTTCGTCCCCGTGGAAATTACTACAACTGAGAAAATTCAAATACTATCTGAAGATGATACGAATTCCAGAAAATCTACTCGTGAACTACTCTAATACGACTAACTAATTACGATAGTCATCTATTACTGTAATTACGTTCTGTATTATCTTTCTTGGTAATCCCATTAATTTCTGGTAGGTGCTTCTAATTTGTATCAGAGCAAAATTGGCTTGGTTGACGTTGAGTTGGTATCTAGCATTTATCTATATATGTCAAATACCTCAATATAAAAATTTCGGAAATTATGATTCACCTGACATGTTAAGCGTTCGTCATACCATAAATACGCTAACTATACTCGCGTTTGGCATACCCTGCCTGATCCATCGCTACCCCGTAAAGTTCTGGTAACCTCGTTCGGTGTTGGAACACGCATATTACTGGTAAATAATATTTCATCAAACATCAACAAACTAGCATTGTATCAGCTGACAGCTGTAATGTAACGCGACACCGCGTGTTTCGGTCCCGCGCGCCGCCCGCTCCAGTTCCACGTGTCGTTTTCTTGACAGATCTTTCTCATTTTACGTTACGCACAAAATTAATATGATAGGTATATAATGTTGATATTGAAACCAAATTGAGATAACAAAAAATCAATTTCTCTCTCACACACATTAATTTGTTTAGTTGCAATCTGTGCTACTTTGTGTTCTTCAACGTACCTCTATCTCCGATCTCAAATCTGATAACGCATTTTAATATTAAAGATTTGGACGTAGTCGATTGAGTTCCGAACCCAATGAATGACAAGCAGAATCCTATTCCTTCGCTACCGTCTGTCACGGGGCTCCATCACTTGAAATTCTCGAGTCTTCATACAAAATTGTCAATGTTTTTCAAATTCCGAAGGCTATTATATTTCAATTAAAAATTCATTTTTTTTCCTTGTCCCTTAATATTACTTGGTATATTCTTTATAATACTAAAATTTATAATGAAACTTTGTAAATTTCCTATCGATAAAACTTTGAACTCGATAAAAATCATATCTGCTAGTAATAATACTAATAATAAAATACTAAAAAAAATATACTAATAATCTGAATTTAAATAACTGTGAACTTCCTCAAACGATACTAGTGTATGAAATTCTCCAAACGGTACATAACCTCAGTGGCTTGGTTCAAAGTTCAAAATTGATTGTGGAATTTTACCATGTTGCAGTATCTTGACTGCAAGCTTTACATACATATATATACATTTGACAAAGAGCGCGGGCGGTATGCACGGCACAGAGCGCAGAGCCTACACTACATGATGGCTGATAGGCACGCTGTACTCGTGACTCGCTCGCCCTGGTTTCGTACAGGATCTAAAGCACGAACGACGCGAGCTTGTTAATTAAACATTCAGTAACAGCTTTATTCCAATTTTAATACAAGTTGGGTAGGATTTCCACTTTTGAGATATACTTAGGTTAAGTTATGTCAATATTTTTAGGGAAATTGGAATTTAAGATAAAAACATCAATGGAATTGGTAAAAAATTTCGTTATATATGTGTATAAAATATATGTATATGTAATCATTTTAAAATAAATTCAGTAAAATGTAATAAAATCTTTAAAACATCGCTCTTAAAATATTAGGTACTAGCGGCCACCCGCGAGTTCATCCGCGTTTAGTTTTTTGAAAATCCCTCAGAATCCTAACATTTTTCTATTTTTATTTTTGTCTCAATTCAGGCATAAATTGTTTGCGTACCATATTTTATCTAAATCCGTTCAGTAAGTTTTGCGTGATTTTGTAACAAACATACAAATTTTTACATTTATTATATTAATATATTATAATAAAGTAAAATAAAAAAGTAGGAAGTAGGATTCGCAACAATAATTATTTATTAAAATATTTCAAGTAAAAATATTATTTTGTTTTAAAGTCTATGGTTTTCTTAACTATTTAATTAGTATAAACTTAAAAAAAATATACACAAAGTCTGTGATAAATTTGAGTTTAGTTAGAAAAAGAACAGGAAAAACAAATGTCATATTAGATATGTTTATAATTAAATGTTAAATTAAAGTCTTGTAGAGCCTCCGTATTATTAGTAATTTGTAAAGTTGAATTCTATCCGTATCGTTAAAATGTTATTAAGATAGTTTTTTTTTCTATTTCAGATCTACTTCTGCACTGACGCAATAACCATGGCAAAAAATTCAGAACACTACGGTATTGCCACCAAGAGACAAGTAAATTGAGTTCTTGAAGAGTGAAGATCAGGGTTGGGGTGAATAATGGGAAAAAGGAACGTACGGATCAAGTTCGCACATTCCATTGGTCCGCCGACAGAGCCGCGCGCGTCGGGCCTCTCCGAGTAGCGCCCCAGCCCGCGCCAGCGCTTGCGCAGCACTATCAGTTACCGACGCTCTAGCAACTGCCAATAAAGTACAAGTCATACCGGGTTATAACTCACTTATTTAAATTTAGATGTATTTATTGTAGTACAAAGACATAGCAAACCGACAAGGTGAAAGTTTGCTTTATGTAGCAAAACTGATCGATGTAGAAGATCGAACCGAGTAGACGTCCTCGGTTGAATAATTGAAACGGTAGACATGACGGCCACTGCCCCAGAACTGTCAAAGTCAGATTTCTTTGATTTCGTGACGTCGAATGAAGTTACTGATGCTCAGTATAAGCAACAAATGCGTTCTGTGAATGTTTTCATGGAATCTCCTGATTCAAGATCAAATCCGTTACTTTCGGAAGAGCCCAAGGAACAAAATAATAATAGTCTACTAAGTATTTCAGGCCCGCAACTCCCCGCTAGTACTAATATGGCCACTGCGACCACTTCAACTACCTTGCAAAGTTTTGATTCCATTTGGAACGTTGACCGAGATCGTGACCGTTTGGAGACAGCTATGCTGGAAGATTTGAACAAATATTACTGGAATCAAGACAGTGAAATTAATAGTTCTCATCCGTGTAATGACACAACAATATCTAATAAATTAATCAGCAATACGGATGGTCAAATATACACACTTACAGTACTCAACCAAGACATCAATGAAACTAGTACGAACCGTTATTGGGGAGAAAAAGAAGAGGTATCAATTTCAAGCCCTGCTGACATAGAGCAACCACCTTCTCTAGATCTCGAAACGATATTAAATATGAATGGATTTCCAAATGACTTCAATCAAGACTTACCAAAAGTAGAAGGTTTCAATTATGATGAATGTGATTCAGAGTCACAAAGTACAGAATTAAGCTCAAATGGTTTAATAAAAGTGGTATCTTATGAATATGACGAAGCGGAGTTTTCGAGCGGAGAAAAGAAAGATGACCCCCATAGTCCACCAGTGAGCACGCCAAGCATACTGGAAAATCAAGTTGAATTTAATAACAATAACAATGATTGGAAACTTACGGATCAGAATACGGAAGCAAATGAGTCTTTACTAAGAAGTGCATTACAGGGAAAAGGTATAGGTATTAGATATAGTACCATACAAAAGAATACAATTAAATTAGATGGAAGCACGGAATTAAAAAGGGTAATTATCAACAACAACAACAAAGCCGATGTACCTTCAATGTATCACGACAATAAGGATTCTGATCAAGAGTTACTTATGGCAATAGGGCCATCTAACGGTATTTCAATATTATTAGAAGATCCAAATACTGTTTTGTCTAACGGAGAGAATCCTTCTTCGACGCAAAGTGTCGACGACCTAATTTTGTCGCGGTTGGATTCAAATTACCCAGAAGACTATGAAAAGTTGACAAGGATAGCGACCGAATTAGGTGAATCTATACAGCCATACTGTACGGTAGAACCCATCGACCCAACAAGAAATGTGTACAACATCCATCACGTTAACGGAGAATTAGTAACCATGATCCCCGCCAGTGATGTCCAGTTACCCCAGCACATACAAATAGTCACCGCCTCACCGACTGTGACGAGCACAAAAAGTGCTAACAAAAAATATAATAAAAGACTGCAGAATAAAAATTCACCACCAACGGTTCAAGCGCAGTCGGGCACAGCAATTCAAGCAGCGACGTCTACGTCAAACGGTGTCAGAAAAGAAAGATCGTTACACTACTGCTCGATATGTTCTAAAGGGTTCAAAGACAAGTATTCGGTGAACGTACACGTGCGAACGCATACGGGGGAGAAACCATTCTCCTGCTCACTATGTGGCAAGAGTTTCCGGCAAAAGGCTCACCTCGCGAAGCACTACCAAACACACATCGCCCAGAAGAGTCCGGCAGCCAACGGAGCAGTGAAACCGACCAAGCAGAGGTAACCAAGCGGCCATCTCTTAAACCGGTCGTTCATATTGATAGTCAAATGAACTTTGCTGCATTGATAAACACAAGTATGTTTAATTGAATACCTAAAGGCTGAAATATCTCAGATGAATTTGGTAAGGTGCTAATGTAGTAGTTTTATAGATAACAAGGCAGTTGTAAACGAGAGATTTAAAAGTTCTTGGTCATAATCTTATTTGTTAATTTGTATGTAATTCCGTCCGTTACCGAATACTTTTTAGCTTTAGCAAGCTTTAGTTATAAACAGATACTTTAGGTAAGTGTTTTTAAGTAATTACAAGATAGTGATAAAGTCTTCATTCCACATTTATTAGTCATATTAGTATTAGTTTACAATACAACGAGTCATACATAATAAAATATCATCACTTTTGTTAATGTTCGGGTATGATACCTAAATTTTTATTGACCCACACGCCTGATATCAAACATAGTGATGGCAAATTTTTAGCTTGACTTATAGCAAAATGAAAAAGCCATTAGATAACCGCCGACAATGATGAGCAGTGTTGGGATTACTGCTCGCCACCGCCGTAATTTCTCTTGAAACGCGACCGACTAAACTTTCTAAAAAATAAAAAAGCAGAGTAAAAGAGCAAGTATTCAGTAAGTACTTGCCATCTTTCACCGCTCAAATATTATCGCTTCTCCGGAGCAACAAACCTCTGCTCGGTTTAATATAATATTATTTTCCTTGTACACACTCGTATTTGCTAATCTCCACTCTTACATAATACATACTCTTTCTAATGGTAGGTACTCTGACCGTACAGTGTTTATTTTTACTAAAAATAATCACTTGTATGTTATTATTTCAATAACCCATTTGGTAGCTAAAATACAATTATTTGTATGTTCCGAACAAAGCGGTGAACGGTTTCGCTATCCAATATTACATCTTTCGCTTGAAACTCGGAGAGCCCTGATTGCCCATAGATTGCTATAAATTAGAAATACAAGCGGTAGTTCAATCATGATCTTTAAAATTGTGTTCCTTTCTCGTGTAACGAATTGGTCTTTCTTTGTCGAAGTACCCATCAGCGGAGGTGCGCCTCACATTGTTTACACTGCACCGAAGGCCCGTAATCATTTCCTTGCACCTGCTTGCATCGACAACTTCCAACATGAAAGCAGTCGAAAGTGCCACTATTAGTGAAAAACCGTACATCGTGAGCACCATCCCATGATCCATTTTACTGTCATTCTAGAAAACAGATCACTTTGATAACACTTGCTGATTTTAAAACAATGAGCTTTCACGTTTTTGGACACCAATCTGGAGATTATTATCGTCTATTAATTTCCAAATCAGGGTAATTTGTGTTCAACCGCAGCCAACTTATTCGGTTAAATTGCGTCTGTTCATTAATAGATTACGCTGCAGATTATATACATATAAAAAGTGAAATGAATTTGATTTGGTCCGACCTCCATATCAGGAAACTTGGTCTCTGTAATGAGTATTGAACTGTTCATGACTCAGCATGTCTGGCGCGGGCGGCGTGCGGCGGGCGGCGGGCGTGAAGGCGTGTATCGCGCTGCGGTTTCCGTCTCGAAAACATCTTTATTTAGCACAGCTAAATTCCATTTAGTTATTCCGAATCAAGTTTTTGACCGGTGCTTATTTGATGATCCAAGTGAGGCTAGTACATCAAAATTGCATCCATGCATGTGGTTCGGTTACGGGTTCTGGTAGAAAAGACGAAGAAAAGGAAATGTTTAATATTATCTTGGGTCCGGGGTCCTATCGGTGTTATTGCTTTTTTTTATAATAAGTATAAGCTCTTAAGCTACCAACTTATCTTGGGATCAGAGCGATTCTGTGAAATGATTTTTTTATTTCACTGATAAAGTTTAAATGGGATTATAATATACCTACTTTCACATTAATAACAGTCAATATCATCAAAATTATATAAATAATCATAGCGAATTAGGTCACACTTACTTGTACTTAAAATTCTATACTTCATTAAGTATCAAGTTGAGTTCAAAATTACTTAGAAACTTGAATCATTATTCATTCGCCATACATCTATACGGGCGCAAGCGAAATTGTAGAAAAATATAAAGCAATCTCTTTATTTTAGTAATAAGTATACCGACTTTTGGTATTGTAATTTTCAGTCTGATAATATATAATTGATGCAATCATCGAAATAAAATTGAACCAGTGCTAAGGTCAAACTTACAGCTGACGGTCAGCCGCTACACGTCAAAGCTCCGAATCTGAGAACCCGTTACGCAGCACAATGTCGCCACGACCTAACACGTTTCATTCTCTGGAACTATTTCTATTAACTTTAAAGGTCAAAACACTTAATAAGCAATAATGGGTTTTAATTTGCAACACTCCCTTAAAACGGCAGCCTCGATTGTTTTCAATGAAAAAAGATTCCTTAAACACGCGATAGGCTGACAACGATGACCGAGAGACGTGATTGTTGATTTTTAAGAAAAAATAGTACTTCTTAGAAAAACTCCTTACAATAAACCATCCATGGATATCAAATGTGAGGTGTGTATTTGTCAAACACAATGACCTTAATTGGTTCGCCGTGGAAGCCGAATACAATAGTGTTGCGGTACTCGGACACAGTAGTTTGATTATGGCTTTATTGATATCAGGAATGTGCGAAGTCATATAGACAAGATTGAATAATTATATTACAGTTAAAATGTTTACAAGTAACCTGTAGACAAAGTCAATCATACTCGATTTAAGAACAAAATAACCGTGTAAATGAACAAAAAGCATTGTTTATGTTACATAACATGACACTCGTTACGAAGCCTTTAAACAGATGTTCATTGTTGAAGAGAAACGAATAGATAATAATCTAATACAATTTTATTAGTCCCATATACAGTATTTTTAACAAGTTTTTTTTTCACTTGTAATCTAATTCACTCCAACTAGGTCTTGCCAATAGGAACTCCTAACTCTGTAAATAAGTCAAGTATTAATTTTAACGAACACTGCCTATGATTGTCCTTTTTCTCTAAAATATCTTGTGTACTCCAAAGCTGTAAAAGTATGAACGTAAAACTATAAAGAGTCTTTAAATATACCGCGCAATTATTATTTAATTGCCAAGATATTTATTAAAGGACCGAATACGGTGTCATTCCATTCCTATAAGCACTTACCTTTCTTTCCGTGCTGTTTTCATGTGTAAGATTAATGGTTTCCGCAAATTCCTGCTCGGTTCTTCTTATACGTACCTTGAATAGTAATTTAGATTTACGTAAATACAATGCTCTAATCTTTTTATGTCTTTCTTCTGGTGATAAACCATGTCCTAAAGATCCTGCCCGATAAGGATAATGCCTTCCAAAACTGAAATTGGTTTAAAATGTAAGTATCTGCGTAACGGTCGTATGATCACAAGCCGTGATAACTGCTTACCATTTATTACCTAGACAGTTACCACGATTGTTTTGTTACATGGTATAGTGATCATCAGAAGGTAATAAGATCAGACGCTGCCTCTAAAGCTGAAAAAACCCATTTGGGTCATAAAGCTCATATTTCTCTACTCGAGACGTCACTTCCGCAAATCAGTTGGCGGTTGGCAGCATTTCAAGTTGTCAGTGCCCCATCGGCCAACTATTGTATATATATATATATAAATGTCAATTGCAACGCCCGTTGTAAATCGTGGTTGTCTGACATGCCTTTTAATATTGTTACCTTTGAACTATCAACGTCTGAACTAAACGATGATCTGGGAACCTATTTTTTATATTTAAAATTTTATCAATAGAATTAAAGGTTGTCTCACTAAATTCTATTTCTCACCGTAGCAGCAATTTGTAGGTCACTATTGTCTAATGGCTCTCTGAATGTTTTCAATCCATGTCTATTATTACCTATAATTTACCGTTATATAAAATTGCATATTTTCTCTATCAATCTACATAGGGTGCCGAGATTTAACAAATTTAAATTTCGCTGTAGATTGTAGGTTCTCATTTTCTCGTTGTAACTAAAGCCAGAAGACACTCCTAATACAATACTCATTAATTGTAAATAAATAATGAAGAATTAAGATGGAAAATAATTTGTGAAGTAAATTATACTCTACCACTCGTATCTCATTAGATGGTATTTTGAAAAGTTAGCGAATTTATAGATTAAGTAAGGTTATATTAATAAATATACATCTTTAGAGAGATTTACCAATTTGACATAAGAGAACTCTGGCTACCTATGGTATTTTATGCCCGAGCATAAATGGTTGTTAATATATTCATGAAATATATTAAATTATGTTGGTATATGAGAACATATTTCGAAAAGGTTTTTTATTAATATTGATCGATTTTTATTGCATTTGTTCCTGAGTTGATAATTAGATTTTATTGATTAATTATTATGTCTGTTATTAAGATTTCTATGAATAATTTGTGCATGATTAATTTAATTTTATGTAATTTTCCAAGTTTATTTTTAAGGATGTAACGGTAAAAAATGCATTGAATGTAACGCTCAAGCGCTACCAGTTGTAAATACCTATTATTTATTTTAGAAAATGTGTATTTTGTGTTCATAAATGAATTTGGATCATATAAAAAATGCAGAAAAAAGACAAAAGTGATCTGTTGCATCCTTAAAACGTACACTTGTCTTGTACAATATTTTCATTATTTATTTTAGAATTATGGTTAAGTTGAAAAAAAGGAAAAACAAAAGCATAATTGTATTTTTGATTAACCGGAGCTGTGATTTATGTTTATCTGTATGTCTTTCAACGGTGTCATTATCTTTCGGAGACAACGAAATATTTGACACTGATACAATCACTGAGGTCTTCCAAGCTCTGAAATTGTAATGAGAGTAACTCTTTTATACTGTAACAACTGTTTGGTGCGGTAGGTAGAGTAAAAATAATTAATTATGTAATTTACCTATCGTAACGCATTCGGGAACCTTAGTTGCTTATCAGATTTGATCTGATCACGTATCAGTATCGTCAAAGGTCTGTTTAATGTTATGGAATAATTATAGCTACCATATTTTTACAGATTTACAGTTTTGTATTGATTTTCTTATATTTTTACTTTCCTACGATAGTTTGCTAATAAAATGTTTTTATAAAAAATCTATGTTTTATTTGCTCTTTTTAACGAACTGACGCCAAAACTTTTCAACTTGCTTAAGTGCTTGTAACACTGAATAAATTAATTTAACCTAAAGTTTTAACCTACGATAAGAACCATCACTGGATTTTTCACACAATGAGAGCTTTATCATCCGTTAATAAATATTTGCTTTTTCACTATGGTTTGAAATGAGGAGTTTTGTAAAATTTTATGTTTTATAAATAAATTGATGGTAATAATGTGTTGCAACATACTAATCAAAATATTTTTCTGCAACTTAATATAAGATTGCTCTACAGATAGGTCTGCATTAATAGTTGGAACGATCAAAATTTTAAGTAACATGTGATTTGATATCATGGAAGTAAAACTTTCCAAGTTTCTAATCAAAACTTTAAATTAATGTCTTTTTTTATTTATTTAATATACATATTCGTATTATAAAGATGCTGTGCAAAATATTACTAAGCCATTTTACATAAGTAATGTACAAAAAGCAAAACAAAACGTAAAGAAATTTACATTTTTCATTGCACGGGAAGCCTGATAAATATTGAAGAACATCTCCGCCGTCTACATCAAGAGGAACTACAAATCTTCGCTTCTGGACACAAACCGTAAGTAACAAGGGAAAATGTTAGCTAACCGGTTTTCCGGGTTTTTCAATGGAAAATCTCGCTAGCCGTATACATAACTATCTACTTTGAAACTAAAAACGCTATAAAGAATGTTAATTATGTCTATGGACTTCACGCTATTTAGAACTAAACAATGAGTATTCAATATGTTCCGTATGAATAAAGCAACATTCAAATTACACTATGCCCCACTGTTGTCTTAAGATATAAGTAGGTATTTACATATTCCAAATGTATTTCATGAGATTTTTCGGAGTCAGTATAATAATGTAGTGTGTGAACTCCACGATTGTATTGATATTAAGAACCGACAGTTAATGAATCGATACCACCAAAAGACCCATCACAAACAGTAACGGCTTCAGAACTACAAATCTAATTTTAGTCTTAGAATACATATATAATTTTGTTGTTGTTTAGCATAAATTATAATGTAGTGAAAATTAAAACGAAGGTATAATATATAAAAACTTTAACGATAAGTTTGTACAAAACAAAATATTCACCTACCTCAAAGAGCTTCCTAAGAGGAAAAACTTTTAGACATCGTAATGTGCAAATGTATTAAACAACTCAAGATGTCTCTAAATGCGGATAGAGGTTAGTGTAACTTATGAGATGAGTATTATTGCAAAAAAACTAATTTGACGGCGATTTCAACGGAGCGGAATGTAACTTTCGCTACTGAGGGACTGTATTCTAAAGCTGTTATTACCAGACATTCGAGTACATACTTATTAAACATTATAGAAATTCGAAATGGGTTCTAAACTTATGACTTGAACATATAAATACACCGTGAATTTTTAGTTAATATCTGAGAAACTTTATTAGCTAATTCAGACAACGATTTAGGTTATATGTAATAAAAAAAACTTTTCTTTTTAATTTTTCCTTAGTCTAAAAGTATCTTCACGTTAACTCAATAATTGTGCAATTATGAAACTTTAACAATTTATTTAAAATAAATTCATTCAAATAATACAACTTTTAGGAGGTGCTTATTTTAAACGGATAATAATGCCATAATAAGTATCAGAAATTGGCGCCGTTTTAGGATATTTTGAAAACGATAAATATCAATAGTTTTGTATGGGGGTGTAATACGTTTAGTACTTATTTATAACTCACACTATTTCTCACTATTTTTATTTACACCATTTTTAAGTTCTTCTGGTACCTCAAAATTCACAGTATATCTATCGATTTAACCTGCTTACTGTTTTCTTGATACATACTCCAAATGAACCTTAGGTATCCATAAAGCATTGTTTGTGGTTCCGGCGCAGTGTGGTCCACAAGCGGTAATTAGTACCATTGTGTTGCGACCACGACCGATCCTATCGACCAGCCGACCACTTCCGATGGTTTTACGTTCGGAATTGCCTTTTCCTGGTACTTAGTTAATTTATTCTTAACGAATAGAAATGCCTCAAGAATGTCCTTCAGCTTTATATACACTGCATCAAAAAATCGCACCTCCGCGAAAATAACTTTCAAGCTTTATTACCCTTAACTTAACACACGCATTTATCCTACCCCCACCAATATTGGTGTCATTTGAAAGCCGATTAAATAAACTTAAAAGAAACAATACTATTAATTTTATTTTTTTATTGAAACAGTGCAAAATACTCTAAAGTATACAAAACAATAAAAATTCTTAATTAAGCCTTAATTAAAAACAGATTAATTACACAAAAAACAATGCACAAAGCTTCTTAAAACTAACCTAAAACCAAGTGTTACCCTTCCTTGCCCGGATGACGGCTTCCATACAATTTTAAGAGCTGTTCTTGAGGGATACTGGCTCATTCCTCAATAACGGCCTCTTCGAGCTCCTGGAGAGTCGTGAGATCGGGATCACGAGTCCGAACCTTGCGTTTCAAATGGTCCCAGAGGTGCTCTATCGGGTTCAGATCTGGACTTCCCGCTGGCCACTACATTCAAGAGATCTTGAAGGTAGTCGCGCACAATTGATGCAGTGTGAGCGCGAGCATTGTCATGCATCTAGCATAGGGGACCACGTGCTCTTACAGGATCTTTGTGACGTACCGATGAGTAGTCAGCGACCCTTGTCCGCGAGCACCTCCAATCTGGGAGACGCTAAAACATACATTAACCGCCCATTTCATGGTTGCCGGCTTGGGCGAAACGTTCCCCCTGTTTTCTGTACACTTTTCTGCGTCCATCGTTGCAGCAAAGGCACACTCTCGTCTCGTTTGAGAAGAGAACAGCTCTCCATTGGTCAAGGGTCCAATTGACGTGGTCGCGAGCAAACTGTAAGCGGGCTCGCCGATGCTCTGCGGTCAATTTTGGACCCGTAGCAGCTCTATGAGCCACTGTCTTCTTCTCCTTCAGTCTTAGTCTAACCGTAGAAACGCTCACGGGTGTTCTGCAAGCTGCCTGGAGCAGCTGTTGCAACACAACAGCATTAGTGACCCGATTTCTTAGAGATGTCGATACGAAGAATCGGTCGTCTCTCTCCGAGGTGCAGCGACGAATACCAGACCCATGCCTCCGGACATGGCCACCGGTCACCAGGAACCGCTGGTATACTCTTCGAACCGAAAAACGAAAAAAATGTCAATTTTTTTAAAGCCACATTTGTGGTAAATAGCTTTTTTTAAGTTTGTTTAAGGGGCTTTCAAATGACACCAATATTGGAGGGGGTAAATGCGCGTGTTAAGGGTTAATAATGCTTGAAAGTTATTTTTGCGAAGGTGCGATTTAAATATAATCTAATCTTCTTAGCTTACAGCTTGATGCAGCATAGTTTCATACGAAACGGAATGTCATACGCATAAGATAGCCTTTTTAAATTGAACAAAAACTTCATTAATATAAAATATATAATTGCCATTTTGTACATCGATCAATGGTCTAGCAAATGGCGACAGGTAACGCCTTTCAACAAAATTAAAATGTATGATAAATCACCACATTTAACAGCATAATATAGAGAGATTCTCGTTCAATGCCAAAGTAAGTCAGAGCATGAATCCATATTACGTGTGACGTATCAAAAGAAAACACAGGCGGTTGTGATGTAGTTAATGTAAATAGACATGTGAATATTGTGAGGCACTCGAACTTTCTCCGCTGATGGGCCGTCAATCATCATAAATTAGAAGCAATTTTCCAGTTATCGCTTTAACATAAGTTCAAATCCTCACAGGTCATAAAATATATTTTATTTAACAATATTAGCGATAAAGCGAGTGCAGTCGCGTTAATAGTCGGCATCAATTTCGTTTTGATTGATGCATCGTGGCCGCTGATTATAAGCACTCGAAAAAGTTTCACCATAACAAGCACAGAAACTCATTAGCAGGTAATTCATTAATATTAAATGCAACGTAGGCCCATACATACCTTATGGTCCAGAATATTATATGGATACAAAATATTATTGTTAGTATATAAACTTTACACCTAAGAATTATATTATATTCACACTGCACCGGCACGTCGCATCGTCGTTTGTTGGTTTATTACAATAATATTAAAAAAAAACGAAAAGTTTTCATTATGTTTTAAAAATTATTAGTTTTACACATAAATAAAATAAGTTGGTATTTTATTTAGTTTAATTTAAACTACTAGGTACGGCCTCACGCAAACTCGGAGTTCTGAACAAGGTTCGGCGTTTTTTCACGCCCGGGCAACTGTGCTTGTTGTATAAGAGGCAGGTGCAGTCTTGCGTGGAATATTGCTCGCACCTCAGGGATGGCTCCCCCAAGTACCTGCTCGATGCTTTGGATAGGTTACATCATAGGCGATGAGGAGGTGACTAAACACCTCGAGCCTCTTCAATTACGCCGTGACGTGGCGTCACTAAGCGCGTTTTATCGTCTGTACCGAGTGTTCTGAGGAGTAATTCTCTCTTATTCCACCTTCCCCTTTCCTTCAGAGCACCACGCGCTCTGGCCTACGTTGTCACCGTCTAACTGTGGCCACTATTTCAACGCGTACAAAGAAATTTGGTGACTCATTTCTTTGTAGCACTATCCGTAAATGGAATGCTCTACCCGCTCACGTGTTCCCTCCCTCTTACAACATGGGATTCTTTAAAAGTGGCGTGAAGAAGCAACATGCAGGCCGGCAGGGTGAGGATGGCTGGTGTGGCAGGTAGAACTGCTGTATCAGCTATCTGCGCGTCTGGACTTCACCGTCACTTAACATCAGGTGGGGTTGAGTCATTTGTCGGACATATCTATAAAAAAAAAGTTATTTTATCTTTGTTTAGTTACTTTTCTAGAAAGAGATGAGTCGTACTTGAGAAATCACGTACGTACTTAACTTACTGTCAGAAGTTCCACAAGTATTTAAAAGTAT